AGACACTACACACAGTTATAAAACAGTAGTCAGTGTTAACAAATATTAAATACTGAATAATGGTGTGATACGTTTGACCTGAGACGAGTCCGAAAAGGTGATATGATGTGCCTTTATTCGTACACTACAAAAAGACACGTTGCCCGAAAGCCAGCGGCATGCTACGAATATGACAAAATATAATTATGTTGCCTCCTACGCAATGGCGACAAAAACGCGGCACAAAACATAACACGAAATACGGTTTTCTAACCGCAACATTTTTGTTTAATGTTGCTCATTCGCCGTGCGGAAGAGAATAGAGCGAGTTAGGAAAATTTATGAACCGTCAACGGACCGTTAGCATTGTCGCGGACTCACGCTTACGCCTAATACCCAACCGAAATTAAAATTGCGTCCAAAAAATATACACTTAACCCGGCATGAATGGCTTCGGACCTTTTTGACCAACAGATTTCTAATTTCTTAAATAATTTATAATTGGAATCATATTCGTCTTTTTTCTACTCGGTACCTTTTCTTCGACCAATAGAGTTTTGTTGTTTTGTGTTTTGATGTAAGTTTATATCGTTAACATGAACTTATATCGGTTATTGATAAAATTACAATCAAAATAACCGATACCACTATTTTCGTTCAAATAATTTCTTCATTGTTTTCTTGATTTTATAATTATTTTTATTTATTTATAGTATATACAATTTTGACGTCAACATTATATTGACGTTAACGCTTTCCCACATTATATTCACATTTAACTGTTCAATACCGCTTAAAATTTTAGCCGCTAAGTGTTTGAATGTAAATCAAAAGTAAATAAATAAATAATTGTGTATGGGTACTTCATATTTTATTTTATTCATTTTATTATTATATGCAATGAGTTCATGGGACGACAATTATATCCGTGCGTATGTTTTTAGACGAAATAGACGATTATAATGAAAACGGATCAGATGTTTCCGATATTGACTATGAACTTGAAAGTGATCACGACATGATACTACTCAGTCTTATGACAGTGCCGATGAAGCTATTACAAATGTAAGTAGACATGAAGTTACTGTAGAAAATATCGATCTACCGATTTATGTTGGAAAAGATAAATCTATTTGGTATATGTATCCATCGCCTCGTAATGTACGTACTCGAACCCGTAACATACTGAATATACGCCATGGACCAATTGGTTACGTAAAACATGTAAAAACTCCTTATTAGTCCTGGAGCTTATTTTTTCCAGATAGGTACTGTTATTATGGAAATAGTAAAGTGTACGAATATAAATATTTCACGAATGCGACAAAATTATAATATACCAAGAGCTGCTTTAAATACAAATATTGAAGAAATGAAAGCTGTATTTGGACTTTTTAGATGGCAGGAGTGATGTAGTCATCTCATCAAAATCTCAGGGATTTGTGAGTACTGGTATTGATTTTTTTCGGTGAACAATGTGCTTGATTAGATTCCAGTTTATTCTTCATGCTTTACGGTTTGACGATATTACTACGAGAAATGAAAGACGAAGCGTGGATAAATTAGCTCCAATTGGAAACATTTTCAATGATTTTTATACAAAAATGTCAAGAAAATTATGTGGTAGATAAATATACTACGATAGATGAAATGTTGGAGTCATTTCGCGGGAGATGCAACTTTCGTCAATATATTAGAAATAAACCCGCAAAACATGGAATAAAAATTTTTCCACTTCGCGATGCTCGAAAATTTTATACTCTAAACATGGAGGTGTATGCGGGAAAACAACCCGATGAGCCATCTTAAATAGATAACAAGCCCCAAAAAATGGTGGAAAGGTTCGTTCCAACCACACAATGTAGGCGCAATGTTACGATAGATTTGGTTCTTTTCGATTCCACTAGTTCAAACCTTATTTTAAAGTCATCGTCTTACAGTCGTCGGAACTATTAGAAAAAATAAACGTGAAATTCCTCCAATTTTTGTGCAAACCAAAATTAGGCCTGTAAATAGCAGTTTATTTGGATACGGAAAAACTTTTAAAAACACTACTCTGCTGTTATATGTCCCTAAAAAAAAAAAACAAAGTTGTAACTCTCGTATCAACAATGCATCATAGTGTCGATATTGATGATAGTCCAGGAAAGGCAATGAAACCAGAAATACTAACATTTTACACATTTGATCCGCAAAGGAAGTTAAGCTTCCATCTGGCGGAAAAGGCTGCGTCCTCGGTAGCGTTATTCAGTCGACTAATATCAGTGGCTAAGGCAAGCTGGGGCCTTAAAGAAAGGACGACAAGGATCCTGTAAAAATCAGTGTTCCTGAAGCGTATGGGGTATGTGGCCTCGGTATGGGCCGAGCACATGCATGGCTCAGTACCGGCATCGAACACGGGCAAACACCGCCCAAAGACGCCCGTTACAAGCAATGACGGACGCGTATAAGACCACGTCGACGATGACGCTCCAGGTCATAGCCGGAGTACCTTCCCTCGACTTAGAACTAGTACGGCTGGCTAAGATCAAACGGGATAAGAACGCCGTGAGGAGAGGAAACAAGTCGGCGTCAGACGTTGCTGGAAAGGCGAAACAGTATTACGACACAACCATACGCCTCTGGCAGGAGAGATGGGTCGCCAGTGAAAAAGGCAGGCGGAAGGCGATTTGGTTCCCGGACGTCCGGCGCAGACTGGAGAGGCCGTGGTTCGTTCCGGACCACTACATCTCGCAGTTCGTGTCCGGACACGGAACTTCAATTTGTCGCTCCGTCGTTTCAACCTTCAAGGCGAAGCTCGTTGCCGATGCGGTCTCCCAGAAGAAACCGCGGAGCATGTGCTATTCGATTGCCCAGTATATAGCCAGGAAAGAAACAAGTTCGCAGCCGCGACGCAAGCGGTTGGTGTGGACTGGCCGTGCGACTGCGATAACATGACCTCTACGAAGGCCATGTTCCTTGCGTTCAAAACTTTCTCCCGGGAAGTCCTAAAGATGCAGAGCGATCCCGTAGGCACGACCCAGACCCCTAATTTTAAAAATAAAGCGGAAAAGGCGTGTGGCTAGAGGAGGGCGTACGTGCCGGGCACAGCGCACTGCTTGAGACATGGGGACCGTCTTCCTTCTTCCACACGGGCAAAAATCGTCCGAGTGGGCTTAGCCAAAACGACCGTCGGCCGTCAGAAACGACGGTGGGGCGAAAGCCTGCGAAGAACTGGATAGTAGCAGGCGAAGCGGGACTCGATAGTCGGACCCAGGGAACTTAGACGACGCCCCCACAGGTTTGTCGAACGCCTTCCGTACTAAGACCCGCCTAGTCGGGAGTGATGGACGGGACACTGCGCGGGACGAATTGGGTGCCCGCCTTCTAACGGAGGTGGGACAGGATATCTCGTGAGGCGAATTGGGTGCCCTCTCTCCCATATGAATGAATTCTTGTCTAGACCGAGAGCCCAAATCAAAGGGGCCAGACCACGCTTCGAGCGAAACATGTGCACGTATTCAGCCGGCTTATACGAAAGAGGCACCAGGCAGAAACGGTTATCCATCAAAAGGCAAACCGTACGCATCAGAAGGGAGTCATCGAGGTACACACAGTGGTGCCCCGATCGACCTGCTTGCGGACAAGGCAGTTGCAAGGGCCCGAACGCCGGGTTCGAACCTCGTACCACGGAACTCGGAGTAAGCCCCGTCGATTTGGCTTGCTAATAGCACCCTGACGCTCCGGGGGTGGCGGACTCGAGGCGCGCGCCCGCGTGGACTCGCCGAAGTCAGGCGCTCGTCCTCACCGGTGAAGTCACATTTGAGAAAAGACTCGTGGTGGCCGTGGTAGTACTGCCTTAGTAAAAGGGGTTTGACTCAGGTGATAATCCGTCGGGCCCTGGCCGCGGCGGTCACTCTATATGGTCCCTAAGGAGAGGTGACACCTCTGGAGGGTCTCCCGGATAATCATCCGGGCTTCCTACCCGGAAGAGATAGCCACGCGGCTACATAAAGAGGTCGAGTGTCTCCGGGGCAACTCGAAAGAACTCGTCGGACCCCGTTACACACGGAATGATGTACTGGAAGATGTATGTATTAATTTTCAACAAAGAAGAATTGTAAAACAAATACTCGCTATATTCATTTTAACTCACCCATCTGCCGAGAACATACTGTACCAGAATATCCCGAATGTTCTAGAAGCATGGCATTAGATGAAATAGAGTTTTAATTTCAAATAAATGTATCGATGAATTAAATTATTTAATATAATTTTTTATTTATTAATATTATTAAATATTTGGTTATTTTTGGGATTTTAAAAACTTATTTTATTACTTGAAAATTATAAAAAACGAAATGCAAAAAATTAGATGTATGTAAAATATATATCATATTAAGTAAATATTGTGTTTACATGAAGAATAACAATATTAATAATTTTAGTTGACGGATAATAGATCAAAATGTATAATTTTGTATTGTTTAGTCAAAAAGATCAATGCCTCCTCTCACGTGTTTTTAAACAATGCCACTGATGCTGCGTTAACATGTTGTTATCTGCTCATACATTCTTTGATACTTAATGGGCTAACAAATTGTTTTCAATTACAAGTGCTTTAGATCAGAGTTATAATCGCGATTTTGTTTGTAATAACTGGAAGTCGTTGGATTGAAGGCATTATAATCATATGGGCCTACACAAATTGCATTTCCAAAATGTAAAAACACAGTCAAGACCAAGTCTTATGCTAGCTCTACACTCTCGCCGAGGCGACACGAGGCAACGCGAGCATGAGAGTGTAGTCGGTTCACTCGTGTCGTCTCGTCTTGCCTCGCCTCGTACGCGCTCCATTCAGTGTCGGTATTTTGGTCACGAGTCAAAGGACACGTGGCGAAGAGCACCAACTACACTCTCGAATAGTCTCGAGCATGCTTTGCAACCACGTGCTTTTCATAACCGTGCTTGCAACTTGTCAGCTAGTTAGTGTAATTAACCATTATTTTTTTTTGATATTTGAATAATATTTTATTTTAAAAATGTATGACTGGACAAACGAACTGTCAATAAAATTTATAGAGAATTATCAATCTCAACCCGTTTCATGGAACCCAAAGCTCCGGGGTCATAAAGATAAGGCAAAAACAAATGATGCCTGGACCAAAATCAGTAAAGAATTAAATATACCGATTGAAGAGCTGAAGAATAAAAAAAATTCAATAATAGCAACATTTCGCGGACATTTAAGAAAAAAAAAGGCGTCCATTAGATCAGGAGCTGGACTAAATGAGGTTTATCAGCCAATATGGTTTTTATTCAACCAGATTGAGAGTTTTTTAGGGACTATTAATGATTGTAACGCTACGATTAATACTGAACAGGTACGTACATTGTGCAAATAAATAAGGAGGGGTGACATTTCAAAGTTGTATAGTCTTGTTCAGTAAATACATAATACACGTTGAGTCAGTGCTGTACAATTATTTAATGTGTTCTTATACAACAATTTATATAAATACATACCATATGTCCTATTTAAAATTCAAATTATTTTAGTTCTTAAAATCATTTTTTTTTTTTATTATAAATGTTTGATAATTACAAAATTAAGTATTTTAGTTTTAAATTAATTAAAATTATTTTAAGGTTAGTCTACTCTGTTAACTTGACCATGGTACTGCCTGTTATTAAAAAAATATGTTGTAAATTCTTCTCTTATCTGGTTTGCGTCCATTGATGATCTTCGCGGTATTTGATTTAAAGGCCTTAATGCACAATTTCCAACAACTTCGTTTCTCCATGAACCTGGTTGAATTATAGAACCGAAATTATCGCATGAATCTATCGTTCCTGGAGGAGTATATATTGATGCTGAAGTTTCGCTTCTTCTCAAAAAATTATGCAACAGTATACATGTCATGGTAATAATTGAAACTTTTTCTTGGGCTAATGAAATTGGTTTTTTAAAAATTCTGTATCTTGCAGCTAATATTCCAAACACATTTTCTACCACAACTCGGGAGCCTGATAATGTTTGGTTGAAAATAAGTTGTGGTGATCCGGATGTATGTTTTCCAGGATATGATTTCATTAGGTTCGTATCAAGAGCAAATGCTCCATCCCCTAAAAAAACGTATAGAGTGTCTTTATTTGAACCAGGAAGGGGTGATGGCATTGGTAAATTAAGGCTATCTGAACTCATTTTTTGCCACAACGATGAATTTCTAAGTACACCGCCATCACTAATTCGTCCTTGACTTCCAATGTCTGCATACATGAAACGATAGTCTCTACTGACCAATGCCATCAAAACAATACTAAAGGAGTTTTTATAATTATAGTGGTCCGATCCAGTATGGGCCGGGCTTTGTATAACGATATGCTTCCCATCTATCGCTCCAATACAATGAGGAAATTTTGTTCTAAACCCATTTTCTACCGCTAACCTCTCTTCAGGGGAAGACGGCAACTGAAAACAAAATTTAACTGAGTTTTGCGGTTCAAAATATTTCACTTATGTTTAAGCTATTTATAGGCATTCGAAATATTCTATATTTTGAAATATTTATTTTAATTTTAATGTTAGGAGTATAACTCAGGAATTATCCGTGAGATTGGAGAAGATGAAAATAATGATGGTAACGAAACAACCTTCTTAAACACCCTTAATCATGAAACCCTAATAGAAAACCAAATCATAAGAGAAAACCAAACTCCGTCCAAACCTCGACGACGAGGTACTTCTATTGAATTAGATGAAGCTGGAAAACAGATGAAACGGGCATTTAGTACATTAGAAAATTGTATCAATAATAGAAAAGGGGAGGACGAGTACGATTATTATGCAAAGATACTAGCAAAAAAAATACGTAAACTACCAGAAAACGAACGTGAAGTATTCATGTATGAAGTTGATGGACTGTATATTAATTTCTTACGTCGTTCAAACAATCAACCATCAACTTCACGCTCCACAACGCCAATATTTCGAACAAATATTCAAAGCCGACCACTAACTTCACTCGCTTCTTATTCTGAAACTGAAATTATAACTTCAAGTTATCCGCAAAGTGCTGAGTACTCTATTTCTAATCCTTCTTCACCTGCAGTAATACTGCATAGAACACACTCTAATCCTCAGTACTCTAATCCACTCTATTCAGAATAACTGTCCAGCTCTAGTCATGTAACTGATATAAATCTATCAACTAACACAAACATAATAAGTCAAGCATTTTACATTGCTCATGAAGGTGAAGAATATTGATTTATTAATAAGATATGTTATTTTGTTTTTTAATTATATATACAAAAAAGTTGTTTTTATTTTAAGTGATTTTTTTAAAGTTTTTTTTTCCTTAAAACGTCTATACTATTAAATAAATAATGTTCTCGTTATATATTATTGACTAGTTTAATTTTATTTATTTATTATTAGGAAACAATTTTACCTTTATTTCATCTTTCAGGAGGTCGTTAATTGCATTACATACTTCAGGCATGATCTGTGAAATTAGTTGACTAGACATTTTGAATAAAAAATGTAAGCTTTTATAGCTAGCTCCAGTTGCTAAGAATCTTAGAGTGATAGCAAGTCTTGTTTTGGCAGGTATCGCTTCTCTAAATTGAGTGTCGTTTTTTAGATATTATAGGTGATATTTTGACTAATATATATTCAAAGTCCGATGAGGACATTCGTATAAAATTTTCAAATTCACCTGATGGTTCAAAAAGCAACTCTGTAAATACACGATCCATAGTTGGTCTGAAAAACAGCCGTAAATGTCAATATGTATATAATACAATGTTGAACATGTCGATAATAATCAACTTTAAAGTTTAATGTACTTACTTTGTTCTGTTTCGGTGTATTTTAGTCATCCACCATCTCCTTTTTTTCCAAGGCTTTTTAAATATTTTTTTATCAGAAATATTAACATAATTATAATATGCAAAGGCGTACAATGCTGCTGCAGCACTTACTTCAACCACATCCATTCTGCACGGCCAGGTACGAATACGAACAACTGAATAAAACGAGAATGTAATGGTTGACTCGCGTCGATTCGGCGAGTGTATAGAGCTAGTGCCTTGCTTCACCTCGCCTCGTTCAACCTCGCGACGAGGCGAGCTCGCGAGAGTGTGGAGGAAGCATTAGATCTTTTGATGCAGAAGGAATATAGGAGTGGGGTAGCTACATACGTATACAAAAACTCCAGGTACAGCAAATTTACCAGGTCTATTTAGTCCAAAACACTATTGTTAACGCCGTCAATAATAACAGAGCCAAATATTAAATAATACACGAATTCACGGTCACCGCCACCGATTCACACACACACACACAAACATATATTTTTGCCATTTTGTTTATTCTATTTTCATATTTTAATTGTGTCTATGCATTTTATAACATCGTTAATTGTTAATATTGGGTCAAAAGGGCTAAATGCTATTATTTTTTAATATTTACATTAATTCAACCCAAAGGGCACATATTGTATTTAAATTTATATTCATACGAGTTACAGCTCAAATAGTTAACTATATATTTTTACATTCTGTTGGGCCAGAAGGGTCATATATTAAAATACACTGTTCTGTCTAGCTATAAGGGCCTTGCATGCACAATTTTTGTGTATTACCTATTTTTTATATTGTAGCTCTAATAGCTCCATATATTGTTTTCATATTTATATTATTATTCTATTTTTACATATTGGGCCAAAAGGGCCGTAATTATTATTAGTATTATTATTTATTATTATTATATATCTAATATATATTACCGTAGCATAGAGTTACCTATTTGTCCCTAGCTTTAAGTAACACACAAACACATATACATACAGTTACACATCCAACGCACACTAACATTCAATAATCTTGTATTTGGAGATTATGATGGAGTTCGTCGTTTATCACTGTTTACAATAATAGTTATGATAACACAACGATTATTAATTTACAATCAAGTTTTTACTGGCCCTTAAAAATTGTTTTTCTAATTTTCTATACCGCCATAGAATTAAATTTCCTACCCCTAGTTTATCGTATATTTATAATCATATTACTTACGTATATAGAATTTATTCATCACACTTTCTGTAAAAAATAATATATTAATAACGAAATACTATCGTAGTAAATTAATAAACATTTTACAAATTGATTTTGTAAGTTTCTGTTCCCCAAATTCAGTTCAGATGTTTCAGCCATATGACTCCTTAGATAATGAATACCACATGAAATAAATATGTACAATACAATAATACCCCAAGTACTAACTATAATTAAATATTATATTATTAAAAAAAATTATATTCAATGGAGAGATGTATTTATGGACCTAAAAAAATATTGTCAATATTTATAATATAATAGCTTCAATATTATATTGGAGTTTATAGATATCCGTATTAAGCGGCCCATACACGATCAATATTATTACTCAATATTTAAATCAATAAATATTTCAATAAATGTTTCAATTTCTTTTGCACCCACACGATCAATATTATTGCTCAATATTTACATCAATAAATGTTTCAATTCAATATATTGTTCAGTTTCGGTCAAAATGTCTAGCGAAGAGAACGCGATAATTGCTATTGCTCTTGTCTTGTCACTTGATGAAAAAAAAAAAACCAAAAAAGGTAAAAAAACAACGAAGAACCTGGTCAAAAGAGTGGTTGAAAAATAGACAACAATATACTCACGAAAAGCTATTAACAGAGTTGCGCAATTTTGAAAGAAATGATTTCAAAAATTTTTTAAGAATGGATGATGAATGTTTCGATGAAATTTTAACTTTGGTGAATCCATTTATTAAAAAACAAAATACGTCAATGCGAGAAGCTATACCAGCAAGTCAAAGACTGTCTATAACTCTACGTTATTTGGCTACCGGAAACACATTCGAGGACCTGAAATTTATCAGTGCGATATCTCCTCAATCCATTGGAAAAATTGTGATTGAAACTTGTGAAGCTTTAATATATTGTCTTCGAAACTATATAAAGGTAAGCTGCATATTATATATGTTGGTAAAATTACATAACTAGTTGTTGCGTTAGAGATTGCTTTTATTCATAAATATATTTATTATAAATGAATATTATTATTAGTAGGTAGTAGATATTATAAGTATCGTAAATATATAAATTTATAGAACAAAATAACAATGAAATTAAAATTAAAAAAATTATGGTTGAAATGAATTGATAAACGCAGTTGCCGTATTTATGTTCCCAAATGGTTCAATTTGTGTTTGAATAGAGTAGTTTTGATCTGCTACACTTGTCATAACCCACGAAGACGGACTTGGCGTAGGAACTGGTGTATAACTGTATGGAGTACTTACTCTGCTTGAAATAGTATTGATTTGAATGGAATCACGGTTCAATGTACCCAATTGTCCTTCAAATAAAATGTCAGCTATCGCTTTTTTGGCGAAAATTTGTTAAGATTTATTCATTTTTAATAATTCATTAGCCCATGTTTTAGCTATTTGTAATTCTTCACATTCCGGTTCGCACAAACGTTTACAGGCTAATAATATAAGTTCATCACGTTGATCTGTACTTCGTTTAGCTGGTTTATTTTTAACAGTTTGAAAATTTGTATCATTATCCTAAAATAACAAATTCAAAAATAAAATAAAATCTAAATGATGTATGATCTTGTATAAAGCTAATTAAGTATTTTTTATTTGAGAACCTAATTAATTATTATTAATTTTTAGTTGCCAAAAACTTCACATGAATGGAAAACAATCGCTGATGAATTTGAAGAAAAGTGGGATTTCCCACACTGTCTGGGATCTATAGATGGAAAACATGTGACAATAAAAAAACCACCAGACTCTGGATCATTTTATTATAACTACAAAAATACATTTAGTATTGTGTTATTAGCTTTAGTAAACGCTAATTATGAGTTTTTGATGGTAGACGTAGGATTAAACGGAAGAATATCTGACGGCGGAGTATTAGGCCACTCAGATTTTGGAAAAATGATGGAAAATCAATTAACATTCCTGAACCTCAACAAGTGCGACGCAGTAATAAGATTCTTCCATACGTTTTTGTCGCCGATGGCGCTTTTGCTATGACTCAAAATTTGTTAAAGCCTTATAGCCGTGTAGGAAATAATTTAACTGAAGAACAACGATTATTTAATTATAGACTTAGTCGAGCGCGGCGTATTGTTGAAAATGCGTTTGGTATACTTGTATCTAGATTTGGTGTATTACAAAAGGATATACTTTTATCTCCAGAAAAAGCTCAAACTATTGTTTTAACTTTTTGTCATATACATAATTATTTAAGATCAAAAAACTCAAAAACATATATTGGTCAAGGTTCTGTAGAATTCGATAATCACGAGACAGGTGAAATGCATAACGGAGCATGGCGGAATTCAAATCATCAATTATTAACATTACAAACTACTACTAGCAGAAATACTTCGGATAGAGCTAAAGAAATCAGAGACATGTATTCTATGTATTTTAGTAACGAAGGGGCTGTACCGTGGCAAAATAATTATGTTTAAAATAAAATGTAAATAAAAAAATTAATAATAAATAATAATAATAAAAAATGTAATTCAAATAATTAAATATTATAATATTAATAATTTTCATACCTCTCCTAGATCATCAACATTGCTTGTATTTGCGACTTTTGGTGGTAGACGGATTTGTAAAGTGCTTCGTGATTTTGCTGGTGTTTCTTGGTCCCGGAGAAAATGCATTTCATTAAAATACCACAAGTGTGACTGATAGATGTCTTCTAAACCAGCTCCAGATTTATACGAATCATTTACTTTTTTTAATTCTTTTCTATAATTTGTGCGTAAAGAATTAAATTTTTTTTTAACATCATCTAATGTCGCTGTCGGAAAACATTCTTGATATTTCTTTAATAAAACATCATACGCGTGATTTTTCTTATTTCTGTCCATGTAATCATCAGATTTGATTTCCCATAATGCTGAATGATTACGATAAACTTGAATACATTCTAATATAAAGTTTCGTTCCTCATTTCTTTCGGAAGAAGACATTTTACATACGGTTTTAAAACTATTTCCGTACAGAACACGTGTTCACGCACTTGTTATCGTGACAAAAACAAAAACCATACAGACGGAATATTGTCAATAGTATTGATAAGTGCCACAAATAGCACAATAATATTGACAATACATCAATAAATATCAAAATAATTTTGATTGTTTCAATATATTGAACACGTCTTCAATATGATCCATAAACTGTCAATATTATTGTCAATATCAAATATTGAGCAATAATATTGATCGTGTATGGAGCACTTTAGTGACATTGTTATTACAATTTTATCTAATAACATGTTATTGAGCTCATCAGTGGTGTTGTTGGGTGGGTGTGTGTGGTGGGGGGGGGGGTGTAAGGGGTTCCCCCCATCATCAAAACAAAATATTTTTTTACATTGGTTATAATTTTAAATAATAGTTATACTAAATAATACTAGTACAAATTAACATGTATATTTATATTATTAGTTATTACTATTTATAATAATATAGTTTTAGAAATTATCCGAGTGTTAATACTTCTATTTTAAGAAAACCAATAATTATAAAATCGATTAAAACAGCGATAACGGCCTCCGACGTTCATTACGCTTACGCCGGTCGATAATATATACGAAATTAGTATATTACGATCTGTCGACCGACATAATATTTCATTTGATTGTTAGATTTTGAAACATTAGTAAAATTACACATTTACACGATATGCGTATCAACTATGGATAAATTTGTTATAAAGGTAAGCATATTAAACAATATTGCAAATTAATATAATAAACTACGCATAGCTTAAACTCTGAAAACATCATTATTTTATTTATTCTAATAAAATAATAATTCAATTATTGCGTATTTAACAGTTTTAGTATTTATTATTTATTTTTGTTGATATTACTATTTAGTATTTAATGTTTATTTTATACTACATAGTTACATAGTACATAATACTAGATTTTATTAAAGTATATTTGTTTTTTTAAATTTTTATAATATTACTTAACGAATACAAACAAATGATCAAAATATTAATTTTGTATTTTAGAAATCTAAACCTAAAGATTCTACCATAGAAAATTCTTTAGCACCTAAAAATGATCTAAACATTAAGACTCCTGAAACCTGTGTACCTTCTTCATCTTTTACTTCAATTAATTTAAGAATTAATGACATAATATATTTTGTTAACCGTGTGTTATCTCATAGTGAAATGCATACAGTTATAAATAATATATGGACACCAGATATAACGTTTAATTTTCCCATGCATAAAAACTTCGATAAAAATAAAAAAGGACAAACGAGCAAATTTCAATTTAATTGGTTATTAAGATGGCGATGGTAAACATACTCTGAATAAGAAGACGGTGCATTTTGTAAACTTTGTGTTGCTTTTTCCAAATCTGAAGGTGGAATAAATGGCCAGAAACTTGGTGCTTTGGTTATAAATACATTTGATAATTGGAAACACGCTATAGAAACATTTACTAAACATGATAAACTAAATTATCATATTAAAAGTGTAATAGATACCGATAATTTTTTAAAAACGAGGAATAATCCAAGCATATCCATTGAAAATCAATTAGATACAGCACTTAGTAAACAAGCAAATGAAAATAGAATAAATATTTTACCTATAATTGAAGTTATTATTTTATGTGGTCGTCAAGAGCTTTCAATACGAGGACATAGAGATTTTGGTAAAATTAATGTAGATACAATACAAACTTCAAATGAAGGAAACTTTAGGGAACTATTGCGGTATTGAGCTCGTGGTGATCTAAAGCTTAAAACATTTCTTGAAGGTCCAGGTGAACGAAATAAATATATTAGTCCTATTAGCCAAAATGCTATTATTGATTGTTGCAACACGGTAATACTTAATAAAATTGTAGCTAAAATAAATAAAGCAAAATGTTTCACTGTCCTTGCTGATGAAACTGCCGATGTATCTGGTATAAAACAAGTGTCTTTATGTGCTAAATATGTTGATGTAGATGAATTAGTTGTCAGAGAAGATTTTTTGCAATTTGTTCCCACAAACGATTTAACTGGCAAAGGCTTAGCAACCCTAATTATTGAAAATTTGATGGCGTTCGGGATAGAACTTAAGTATTTACGTGGACAGGGGTACGATGGGGCTGCAGCTATGTCTGGACAATTTAACACGTTCAACGCCGGTGACGACGCGTAGTCGTCATACGATGTCGGGCGCGCCCAGCCGATGACGACCCGTAGTCGTCATATCACAATTGTTTCTGTGTGTCCTATAAAATCGTCGGCTGATGGCGAACGATTATTATATTTAGCACGGCCATCCTGTATAAGTATTAGAACAACAACAAACAGCTGGTTTCGGTTTCCCGGCATTTCTATGGTTATAAAACGTGTTATCAATATGATATGATATAACTGATAGACAATTGTTATTTTTCTATGAAATAAATCATAATTTTCTTATTGTTTTCATTTATTCAATCGTTTTATATAAATCATTATTATTAGTATAATATGAATCCCGAAGTTGGTTCAACTAGGAGTGTTAACACTCGAAAAACTATGAAAACAAATATTTTGTCTGATAGCGAGTTACTCGATCTTTTAGAAAATGATATGTTGTCATCCGACGAAGATTTTGGTTTTGATTCTGATGATGATATTTTTGATGTTGAATTTAATGATAGTGACTCTGAGACAGGTAATTTATCAGATAATGATAATAATAACTTAGATTGTAACAGTTTTGATAATAATTCGTTGAGTTATAATGTAAATGAATACAATTGGTTCACTGACCCTCCAATTGTAGAGAATATTCCTTTTATGAGTACGGCTAATCTAAAATGTATACCAGAGGGAAACCAACCGATTGATTATTTTAATTTTTTATTTTCGGACGAATTGTTAGACCATCTTGTAAAAGAAACAAATGCGTATGCAGTTGATATTTTTCTAACTACTGCTTCTGTAAATGCGCGAATTTGTCATTGGACTGATACTAATAGATCAGAAATAAAGATATTTTTTTCATTACTTTTTCATATGGGTACAATTAAACTTAGTAGAATAGAAGATTATTGGAAGACAAGCGTTTTATTCAGCATCCCATTTTTCCGTGAACACATGAGTCGAAATAGATTCATGTTGATACTTAGGGCTTTACACTTTTCTCGAAACACTCAAGAAGGGGAACTAGCTCCTAGAAATAGATTACATAAAATTCAGCCAATTGTAGACTATTTTAATTCAAAAATGAATGAAATTTATGAGCCATCAAAAAATTTATCGATTGACGAGTCAATGGTGTTATGGCGTGGGCGACTGATTTTTCGCCAATATATTAAAAATAAAAGGCACAAGTATGGTGTAAAGATGTACATGCTAACTGAACCGTGGGGGCTTATTCATAGAATTATGGTGTATTCTGGGCAAGGACAAGACGTATCTGAAAATTCCACTCATACAGAGTTTGTGGTAGAAAAACTTATGGATGGTTTATTGTACAAAGGTAGATCATTATTCATGGACAACTTTTATAATAGTGTGCAATTATCTAGGAAATTATTGTCTAAGAAAACATACGTAACAGGGACTTTACGGTCCAATCGAAAAAATAATCCTAAAGATGTCATTGAAAAAAAACTAAAAAAAGGTGAAAGTATATGTAGATATACAAATGATGGTATTTGTGTAGCAAAATGGAGGGACAAACGAGACGTATTAATGATAAGTTCAGAGTTTCCACATGAAATGAACGAAATTACTACAAAAAAAAAAGAAGTAAAGATAAAGCCTATTTCAGTAAAAAAATATAACGAAAACATGTCCGGCGTAGATAGGCAAGATCAAATGTCCGCATACTATCCTTTCGAGAGAAAAACATTAAGATGGTATAAGAAAATTGGTTTACATTTTATACACTTATTACTGATAAACTCATATTTTTTATATAACAAACATGTAAAAAAAACATCATTGTATGACTACAGGCTTTCAGTTATACAAGGGCTATTACCTAAACAACAAAATATTCAAATAAATACTAAAAAAAGAAATTCTGAAACTCATTTACCAAAAAAAGTTCCAAAAAATAATAAAAATAGGTATATGTACAAAAGGTGCAAATATTGTTATGCACAGGGAATTCGAAAGGATACAATCTATTTTTGCAATAATTGTCAAGACCAGCCTGGATTTTGTTTGGATAGTTGTTTTGAAGATTTTCACAAGTCAATTTAAGTTTATTTGTTCAATTGTTTTAATTATTTCATTTATATTTTTATTATTATGATTTTTTTTTTTTGAAGGATTTTTTATTTTGAATGTATTGAAGTTAGAATACTATTGTGTTATTATTACATTATTAAAGTTTTTAAAGATTTTTATAAGTCAATTTAAGTTTATTTGTTCAATTGTTTTAATTATTATTATGATTTTTTTTTGAAGGATTTTTATTTTTTATGTATTGAAGGTACAATACTATTGTGTTATTATATTATTAAAGTTTTCGAAGTTTCGGAGATAGTTGTTTTTATATAATAAAATATTTTAAAAGTCAATAAAGTATTATTATAATATCGTATTATATTTTATTAGTTTTTATGAAATTTACGAAACATGACGACACGTAATCGTCATCGGCCATTAGGTAATATAGTATATGACACATGGCCGATGACGACGCGTGGTCGTCACGAGTGTAATGTTATCAATATTTACGCGGCTGGGTGCGCTTGACCTCTGAAATTGACGCGGACGTGAACGTGTTAATGGTGTTAGATCACATATTTCTCAATTATATCTGATGGCAACTTATGTACACTGTACAGCACATAGCTTAAACTTAGCAGTATCTAAATCCTGTACAATACAACCAATTAGAAACTCCTTGGGTACAATTGGAAAACACGAGATTTCTTTGTATACCCCAAACGAAAAAATATACTTTCACAAGCGATCGAAGACTTTAATGGAACAATTAATACAAA